GCCTTGCTTTGTTCAGTTAAATTCAGGTAATTGCATTAATAAAACATTTTAAAGAGCATTAACAAAGGAGAAGGAGATGCCACTATTCTGAAGGAAAGGTTTCCATAATGAGCTGATAATTAGTGTATGATAATGCTACGCTTACACAGTCCCTCATATATTTTGGGTTCTGATTACACCCTGAAGAGCCTTGCTAGAGCTGTGTCCCTACTGTGCAAAGCACTGTTCAAGAATACATAATGTCAGCAAGATACAAAAACCTTCACTGAAGGACTACAGGTGATTAGTGGACTAAACAAAGCGATGAACTTAAGATATAGAGGCAGGGAACAGGGGAAAGAAAAATAAAGTATTATTTTAGCAATGAAATCCTGGCTTTTTTCAAGTCAGCAAAAACTTTACCCCGGAAGGAAAAATTTCACCTTTCTTGCTTTTTTTGTTGGGTTGTTTTTTTGGTTTTTTTCCAGTCTAGAGGAAAAGGGCAAGAGCAAGGTTTGTTTTACCACCTCTCCACACTTGTGCTGATGCAAGGGACAAATAGTTGGGCATCACCTAGGGGCTTTTTCAGTGAGGATAGGTTTGGGAGGAGCAAAGGTGGAAGGGGAGAGGACCAAGACATGGAGCAGACATTGGGAAGGATAGGCAAATAAAGGCAGCAGCAGAGGATAAGCACTGGCAGAGCCAATGACTAGAAGAAATTGCAGCTCTGTGCTTGGCAGAAAGGAGAACAGCCTTTCTGAAGAGCACCCAAAAAATGTCCAGAGTGTTTTCCAAGCTCGAGGTCACAACTGCAGGTTGAAGCTGCTCTTCTCACTTGAACGTCATCAGGAAGGCCAGAACCTCTTGTGCTCCCACCCAAAGGATAACTCACCCAGCATTCTGGCAGGCTAACACAGAAATTTTAATGTCACTGCTTAGGAAATTCTGCCACTGCCTTGGAGGATGGCACCGTGCTCACCCTCCTTCAGGGACAGGGAGCAATCCCTGCCTGTCAGTCTAAAATGAAGAGAATATTTCAAGATGTCAGCTTGACAATCTCTTGTGAACTGATCATTTATCTCTCGGCAATGGCATTTTGATACATATCCAGAGGTCTGCAGAAGGCTATTCTGGATGTGTCTCTGGCTGGCTGATGAGAGACCTAGGAAGTTCAGAGATGATAACAGACCTCCCATACTGACAACCCAATCCTCTTCCAGTGGCTCCTCACTGTGGCTACAAACACACCATAACCACGCCATAATTCCATTTCTCAAAGGTGTGTGCTTTTCTGTCAGCAAGTCATGCAAGAGAACAAAAACTAATCAGCACTTAGGGACACTGTTGCCTCAGTGACATTTGCAGGATTTCTCTGTCAGCTGCCAATGAACATCCCTCACGCTGGCAGAACACTGTCTCCTTAACTTTACATCAGCTGCTGGCTGAGGACATTCATTTAAAACACAACCATGTGTACTTACAATAACCAAGAGCAATCTCCATTTGCTTGTTTTCTGTCTCTGAGAAGAAAGAGAAGGCTTAACGACCTCCCTGAAAGATCTCTGCTCCTACACGCGAGCACAGAGCACTTGGGACTCAGACCTTAACCTCCAGGACTGAAATCAAAGCAAGGATGATGTGTGAGAGAAAAAGCAGCTGCCAAGTGACCCCTGCCAGATCCCTCAGGAGAAAACAGCCTGAGACTTCCAGCATCCTTCACACCTTCCCTGCAGCCACCACAGCTGCCTTCACCCCTGCTCTGAGAGGGGCCAGTGGGGACCTGAGAGACCACATTCTAGTCCAACAAAGAGAAAAGCTGAAAACAAGATGGGAAAGAGAAAGATGGATCCCAGTAAATCCCCCCAGACCTGCCCTCTCTCCTGTTCCACAGGTATCACAATCCTGGCCACCAGGCATCAATCTGTATTCAGACATATTTGAATCAGATCATGGTTATCATTTGAGACACTGTGCTGGCCTTTTCTGCAGGGGTTTCCAGGTGGAACCACAGCCTCAGCCATGGCTGGGAGTAAATCCCTCTGAAACCAAGGAGTGAGGCAGCCTCTGTATGGGCAGCTGTGGCCCCAAACCCACCAACATCCCCCAGGACCCAAAAGAGATGAAGGTGCTATGAAGATGCTGCATGGGGTTACTAAGCCATCTGTCAAAGACACAAAATTTTACAAAAGGATACAAAAAAACTCTCAATGGGTTTGAATTTATAACAGAACTACAGTTTAGCATTTCAGTTGTACATGTTAATGATTGAGGGACACAAGGATAAATATTTGGACAGCTGTCTAAGCTACGTGGCTTGTTGGCATGTTTGTATTTTGTGCCTATTATGACTCAAAAAATCAGATGTACAAGATCTGTTCACTAGAAAAAAGCTAAATATTCAAGAAATGGGCCTTTGTAACTACTCCTTTATCCTGAGAGCACCACAGTTACTGCCAGTGATAAGAAAAAAGGTTAAATCACATTTGGATTTCTCATCCCAAACCTGAGAAAAATATCTAGAAACAATACAAGAAAATTCACCCAACTGGAAACCTCTCATAGATATTGATATCCTAGGGGAAAAAAAAAAAATCCAAGAGAAAAAAATTAATCCCAATTTGTGAAAGATCAGGCAGCTGAAATTTCCACAAGATGAGTCAGTCCTGGCACACACACACAGACACACACTTGCAAAAGATTTTTAAATAGAGGCTAATTTCAGCTGAAACTCAGCAGTGACAAGCACTTCTATAGATGACGATTTGGAATCTACATACCAGCAAAAGTAAATCAAGTGGGTGAAAGGGTTCTGAGACCACATAAAACAGTGCCTCTGTTTCCACTGAAAGCAGCCTGGTTTGAGTCAGAACAGCCTCTCGTCTTTGACTTCAGTGTGTGTGCAGTGGATGTGAGAAAGTTTGCAGACCTTGTAAATTCAACAGGATGAGGGAGAAGCAGAGCTCAGAGCCTGTAAAATCTATGAACTGCTCAGGATTTCATCTGCAGAGATAGCAGGTAAAATCTTTATTCTGTTGAAATAAACAACAAAATGCTTGGATGCCTCATAAAGTTGAGACTTCAGAGCAGCAGCTTCCTGAATCTTGAAGTTCTGTCTTTCCTACAGAATTTACAAAGTCATAGTTCACAGGTGCTGCTTTTTTTCCCCTCCAACAAAACAGTGATCTTCCATTGTCTGATTCTCCTACAGTACTCTGAGGAAAAAAGCAATCCACTGTTTATTCTAGGTAAACACAGAGATTTCCAAGACAATGGTTTCTGCCCTATTCCACAACATATTGAGCTTTCAGCAAAACACAGCTCTAGGTCAAAAGTTTGAGTGTTAGCTAAATTAAGTGTGAAGGGATCTCACATTAGTCCTGGACAGAAGGTTACTGTGTGTCAGAGTGGCGTGACACCATCTATTTTGTGCTTCTCAGAGGGTACTGGAACTTTGCTTTCCACACAACAGCCCAAGTGTTTGAATACAGCAAGCAATGAACCAGATGGCTCCTAACTCTCTCCAACAGCCTTTCTCTCCTGTATTCTGTTTTCCTAGAGTTTAAGCTGTTATCAGGATGAAATTACTTCTTTCAGGAAAAGAGATTACTGCTTTTCCACTTAATTCACACGCAAGAGATACTTGAATGACAAGATCTATCTCTCCCACTGAAATCTCTTCAAAGAGTCCTTACAAATTTCTGCTTCCTAAAAATGAGATCTTATGCCTCTCACATGAAAACCTGATCACCTAGGTGGGATATCTCACCACCTGACAACACAGCAGTCAAAATGGGACCACTGAAGCGTGATCAGGGGATGACCTTGGGCCAAGCCTTCCCAGGGCAAGAAGAAACTTATCTGGGCAGTTCACAAGATCAGCATCCTCACATCCCTCAGTAAAGCAGAGCAGGTTGATCAGGGTGGCCCTCAAGGAGATGTTCCTCATACATCTGCTTTCCCTTATGCTTGTGGCATTAAACTGTCTTGCCCAGACTCAGTGACTGCAGTTTCAGATGGACAGAAAAAAATAAACATACACCACACGCGACAGAAGAAAGGAACTACTAACTGCTACCTTCCCTGAAAATGATGATTTCTGTGAAAAAGGGAACTGCCATCTATGTTACTGAGAACTGGTGAAGTACACAGACCTATATGAAATGATTTTCCTTGCAGGAAAGACAATAAACTGGCCAAGTGTATAATAAGATCAGGCACACAGCCATGAAGAGTTACAGGCTGTTGTGAATTATGGAGGTTCAACTCTTAATGCCACGTGACCTGGAAAAAACAAACTTGTGTACCTACAACTTTCACAGTCCCTGTTCTTCATTGTGAAATGTTGTTTTTCTTAGCAGAATTGAAAGCTCATGATCAAACTCATTAGAATGAGAACTGCAGGTTGTGTAGTGATTTTGGAAAATGCCGTCTCGTTTTTAAGATGTATTTCAGGATTTCTTTATGACATTCCTTACATTAACTCAACCATTACAGTGAAACCCCACGCTTCTCATTGCTTGAGATACTCATCCATCTAGGATCTTTTCCATTCTAGACAGCCTTATCACAGTTGAAATGAAAAAACAAAATAAATAGAGTTTACCATCTACTCATTTGCATGCTCAAACAGTTAGGAGTAACAACTCTCAGCACCATGCCATCAGATTTTTGCTCTCCAAACTGCAAAAGGGGTTCTTCAAAAGCTCTCAGTACTGGCTTACCCACCCTTGGTAGTCCAGCATGATCCATGCTATGGATCCATGCTATGAGCAAAGGAGGCAGGTGCAGAGGGCTGGCAGTTCCCACTGGGGCTTTTGACTGACCACTGGCCTTCTGGAAGTACACATAAGGGGGAGGTGACAGCTTTTATATGAGCCAGACCTGTATCACAGCTAAAAACAACTTCAGCTTCAGCATTCATCAGTGGCAGTATGCAAATACCGAGTGCCTTTGAGAGCTCCCAATAAAAATACAATTCCTCAAGCATAATAATATGAAATACTGAAGAAAGGGTTCCATACCTTAAATTCCTCCAAGATTTTGTAATTTTTCCCATGATATTCACAAAAGTTTTTCACTTCTTTGCATTCTGGACAGCATCCATTGTGTTCCACTTTTGTGCACTTTGGGTGGATTTTAGGGCATTCTGGTTGATCACAAACAGGTCCATCCTCAGTACAGACACAGGGACAGTTGGAATGGCCTGGGAAAAAACGTTCTCCCAGTTTGTACACAAAGCCACTGTCATCCACACAGCCCTTCCCCCGGTAATCATCAAAGATCAGATTGTCATTACTGGAGGTCTGGTCCCCTTCATCAGCAGGGTAGTCTTCATGATTGATGGCAGCTGGAGTGACCAAACCAGGGAGCACAAACAGAAGTATCCAGGCTTCATGGATATGAAGAGCCATCCCCCTCCTCAGCTTCTCCATGGGACCTCAAAGCCAAATACAAACAGTCTCCATAGGGAGACCAGTGTTGTGGTCTGGAAACAAACAATTTCAAGTGAGAAAAACCTCAAACTTCAAGGAATATTGACTTACAGAAGTCATTGTTTCAACCAGCACTGAAGAATAAATGCAAGTTTTTAAACAGCACAGATAACTATCAGTGTTTCATTTGAATTAAACCTCTTCTTAATTATTGGTAAAGACAACATAAAGCATGTGAAATGTCTTAATTAGACACACGTGCCTGGAAGCATATGACCATAAAGTATCTCTGAAGGAATGGTGGGTCACAGAATCATCTAATTTTTACTTTCCTCATTTTTGCAGTTGAGTTTTTGGATGCAACCGACATTAAACCAGCTGTCTGAAATCGCATGGTGATGGGCAGCTTGGAGGGTTTTGAAGCCAAGTTTAAGAATGGTCTAAACCTCCTGTGGTGGCCGCTGTCCCTTGGTGCTTACGTATGGAGCACAGCCCATGTCATTAAATTGAGGTGGGAAACCTGAGCTGAAAAGGGAGTTAAACATCATCTGTTGTCAGATCTGTGTCTGATCTAAAAGATGGTGCTGGGTTAAACTTGGGCTGTGAGAGGTGGAATAGTACAGAATCTTATTTACAGCATTTCTGAAGAGGGACTGCCTGGGCTACCAACACAGCCCAGCCTGCAGCAGGTACGTCTAACCCTGACAGAAGCAAAGACGCAATTCACCTTCTCCATTATTCAGCATTTCAGTAATTCCCAGCAAAAAAAACCCCGTGGAGCGCAGGAGGTTTAAATGCCTGTGTAATGCATGGAGCCGCTGAAATGTGTCGGCGTGATTAAGCTGGAGCCTTTCTAAAACTTTGGGAGCGATGCAGCACGTCCCGACCTCCGGTGAGCTGCGCTGAAGTGGTGGAGTGAGGGACGAGCCCCGGGAGGGAGAGGGGCTCTGAGGGACCCTCGGGAGAGTCGGCGCCAGGCGAAGGCTCCGTGCCGGCGTCTTGGGAGCTCTTCTGGCTGCCCACAGTGCCACATCACTGCCACCAACCTGCCCGCAAACCAGCCAGCAGCCAGTGCAACCCCAGCAGCAAACTGGTTTCTCACCCCTCTTTAAATCTGGGCAAAGTATTACAGGAAACTTTTAAATGAGATGAAATATCAGCACTACACGGACTGCAGAACTACGGAGGTAGATGCTAGCACAAACCAAAAAAAAAAAAATAAAAGGACTGCTGGGGTGTGTGTGTGTGTGATTCCTTCTTTCCTCCATTCCCAGAGCATGCACACACAGGCACACGGCGTCTACACAAACATGCATTAACCTACACACAGGGGCAAACACGTACTCCCCTCCGCCCCACGGGGAGACATTTTTATATACTGAAATTTTTGGTGGACTGCAGATGTTCAACAATTAATTCTTCCTTAACTGAAGCAAAAAAACAGTAGCAGGAGGAGAAAGCTTTAGTCCCCGAGAAGCAGCTAAAGGATCCTGTTGACCAAGCAGTTTTTCCAAAGCCACAACAGAGGGAGACACCGGATATTGCACAAGATTTATCAAATTCGAAAAGATATCTTCTTAATTGAAGTACTAGCTGTGTTTCCATCACAAGGACTATGCACCCTCCTGTTATTCGTATCAGCAATAACTACTGTAACATGCTGCTAGGAAATCCAGCGATTCATGCAGATACGGCTGCTTTACATATCTAGAGAGCAGAGTCTCCCCACCTAACGCTACAGGTAGGTTGCAACACTGCAGATTTGTGGGCATTTAGGGGGGAAAAAAAGAGCAGCAAACAGAGTAATTAATATCTGACGAAATGTGAAACAATTGTGAGAATCTGCTGGAGTCTGATGAGGAAGCCCTCAGAACAAATGTGTGTGTATACATATATGTATATAAAGTTCTCCCCAGACCACAAATAAGAGCATTGTATTTTGCCACAGCAGCTGAGATGTCCCACAGCAACTCACAGGCACTCGGCTCGATCCTGGAAATCAGACAGACTGCAGACGTCTTGCACGGACACATTTCAACAAGTAAACAAATGCTGCTTGGCTCAGAATTAGTTTACAGCTTGAACTTTCTCATAATTTCTCATCCTGAGAGAGGCCAGGATCGTAGGTAAGTCTCTGAAACGTTTCCATCCGCCTTCCCTCGCCCCAAGTGAATAATTCACACCTACCTGATCAGGCTGGATGTGAAAGCTGAGAGGGGTCACAGGCCAACATTGACTGAAAGGTTAGAAACAGATTAGTTAAAGCAGTTCCTCCTAATCACGTTTTCGGTGTTGACTCACGGACAATCCCTTTTCCTCCACCTCCCATCGCAAAACGGGAGCGCGGCAGCCCAGCAACCACAACATGAGAACTGAGCTTTAACCCGGCGCCGACGATTCAGAAGGAGCAGGATTCAGGCGGTCCGGAGGCTGCGATGCCGCGGAGAAACCCCGGTGCCAGCAGCAGAGTCATCGCGGCGAACTTGGGCTGCATCTCCTTAGGTCTCGGGGCGGGCGGGGGAGAGAAAACAACCCATCCCTGTCCCCTCCCTGTGCCCGGCGGATCTCCTGCGGCTCCAGCTTCGCCTCGGCGGGGGAAGGGGGGGAGCGATCGCGGGTTAGG